TATAACGCAATTGTTGCAATTAGCTGGGAAAAATGTATGTAAATAGAGAGACAGTGAAAGAGAAAGAGAGCCAGGAAGGAAGATAGCAGTAGCTATGGGAGCCAAGGAAGAGAAGGAAAAAGAAAGACAAGGCTCAAGGAAAAGAAAAAGCGGGACTTGAAGGAAAGGAAAGATACTGGCACGTTTTTGCCTGCGATGGAGGACAGTGACGGACACAGACCGGGCTCAATGCAGCTAGGCCCCCATGAGCCCATGGTCGATATATAGATAGGGGGCCAAAGTACATCCTTAATGGTGGACAGTGGCGCAGAACATTCAGTGGTGACAGCTCCAGTTGCCCCTCTGAGTGGAGAGCGCATCCAAGTGATCAGTGCCACTGGAATTTCAGAAGAGCGCCAGTTTTGCTATGAAAGGACATGTGAAATTGGAGGACATGAAGTGAAACATGAATTCTTGTATATGCCAGAACGTCCTAGTCCCTTACTAGGAAGAGATTTATTATCTAAATTGGGAGCTACAATAACTTTCACCCAACGAGGAAATGCATCTCTGCATTTAGACCCAGGAAGAGAGCTCATCGTGATGGTAACAACTAAAAGAGAGGGTGAATGGCAGTGTTACAATGTGGATGATGTTTTCCAGGACCCGCAAGAATTAAGAACTATGTTTCCTAGAGTATTGGGAGAGGAATCACCCCCAGGCTTAGCTAAGAATCATCTACCCACAGTTTTAAAATTAAAAGACAATTCGGCCCCATTGGTGTAAAACAATACCCAATGTCCAGGCAAGCCTGAATATTGGAATTAAACCCCATATCATGAGATTAAAGGAATTTGGACTTATTAGAGAACGTACGTCACCTTGGAACACCCCTTTGCTGCCTGTTCGGAAACCCGATGGGGACCATAGGCCAGTGCAGGATCTACGGGCTATAAGTGACGGAACAGTAATGCTGCACCCAGTGGTCCCTAACCCCTATGCTTTGTTGGGTCTGATGGCCCCAGAAGCAGCATGGTTTACTTGTTTGGACTTAAAAGATGCCCTCTTTTGCCTTCTCATCACTCCCCTCAGTCAACCCATCTTTGCATTTGAATGGGAAGATCCGAGTGATGGGAAAAAGACTCAGTTTACTTGGACTACATTGCCACAGGGACTTAAAACTCACCCACGCTTTTTGGGGAAGTCCTAGCCAAGGACTTGCTTGCCTTCCCTGTGGAACAATATAGCTGTGTCCTACTGCAGTATGTGGCTGACTTACTGTTATGCAGCTCAACCCAAGAATGGTGCTGGGAAGGCACCAAAAAGTTGTTGCTGCACTTACAGGAAAATTGGATATAAGGTATCATGGGGAAAAGCCCAGATTTGTGTACAGCATGTTAAATATTTAGGATTTCAAATAACACAGGGCATGCGTTGCCTAGGAAATAAAAAACAGGTTATTAGTGCCATCCCTATACCCCAAACAAAGAAACAGCTGAGAAGGTTTCTTGGGGCAGCAAGCTTCTGTAAAATTTGGATTCTGGGTTTTACAGAAATCTCTAATCTCCTTTATGAAGCCCTAAAGGGACAAGAGGAGAATCATCTGCACTGGACTGTAAAACAGGAGGAAGCTTTAAAAAACAAAAATTTTTTTTTAATTGACTTAGGCAGCCACCCCAGCCCTATGCATACCAGATGTAAAGCGGCCTTTTACTCTGTATGTGACTGAAGAAAACCCAGGTGGCCCTTGGAATGTTGACCCAAGAAGTAGGCCCATGGAATCAACCGGTGGCATATTTGTCTAAGAATTTAGATTCAGTATCAAAAGGATGGCCTCATTGTTTTTGGACCTTAGCAACTTCAGTTCTGTTGATTCAGAAAAACAGACAAGCTGACTTTAGGTCAGGAACTGACTGTGCAGGTTCCACACCTGGTCCTAGAACTGTTGAACACAAGGGAGCATCATTGGCTGTCAAATAATTGGGTTACTCAGTATCAAGCCCTTCTCTGTGAGAATCTCCACTTGTGGTTTATTTCTATAAAAACTTTAAATCCTGCTACCTTCTTGCCCACGGAGACAGGCCCTCCCAATCATGACTGCTTGAGTGTCACTGATGAGCTCTTTTCCAGCTGCCCTGACTTCCAAATGACATCCTTGTCCGATGCTGACCTCGTTCTCTTCACGGATGGGAGCAGCTTCGTGGAAGATGGGGTTCGTCATGCTGGATATGCAATAACCATGAAGGATAAGGTGGTCCTAGCCAGGGCCATCCGTGCAATGTGCTAAGCTCTGGGCACTCATACGGGCACTCCGATGGGCAAAGGGTAAAAAAGATATATATATATGGACTTTTGCTATACATTTGCTACATTATACATCATTGGCATGATTTACTGAGAGGTCTTCTCATGGCAGAAGGGAAGCTAATTAAAAATAAACAGGAAATTATACAGTTGCTAGAGGCAATGTGGAAACCTAGCAAAGTCACAGTAATATATTGTTCAGGACATCAGAAAGGCAAAGACTTTGTTGCACAAGGTAACAACAAAGCTGATGCTGAAAGCCGAGAAAGACAATGCACTCAAAGCCCTGCTCTCACCACTCTGGAGGCTGCTGAGTCGACGCACGGCTGAAGAATACCAACAAGGCCAACATGGGTTATTGTGCTGTGCCAGATCACCACTGCCTTAAGTTTCTTTGTTTTTGAACTATGGGTGTTTAGGCCTAGTTATGAAAAGTTTGATGAACAATATGTGACTTTTAAAATGGGAACCGGAAGGCTATGTGTTTACAATATTCTTTGATAAAAACATTATGGGGGACCTGGGATAACTTCTGACTGTGGGGGGCTATTCTAATGAAAAATTATATTGCCAAGAGAAAACACAAGTTTGGATCAATGGCTCCCTTGTTGGATGAGCCACTGGTAATTGTAACAGTGGTAAACAAGGTCAATGTAATCCTATATCTATGTATATGCCAGCCCCATGGGATCTTATTTGGCTACAAAGAGTAATATATTTCATTAGGACAAGAAGTTTAAAAAGACCTTGAGGAAATTTGAGACACACTTCAGGCTTTAGAAACTCAACCAGATTGACTGGCCAATGTCATTACAAAATAGGCATGCTCTTGATTTGCTCAGAAAGGAGGGACTTGCTTATTTCTTGGTGAAGAGAGTTGTTAATATGCTAATAAATCTGGTGTAGTACAAGAATCACTAGGCAAACTAAAAGATCAGATCAAGGCTCTTGATGAGAAATTTGATATAGGAGAGCTGTCCTGTGAGATTAATTTTACTTGAGCAGAATGAAAAAAACTTGGATAGGAACTCTTCTGAGTCCCCTTCTTGTTATAATATTACTATTGTAAGACCCAGATGAGACTTAGCACAAGTAACACCATCTTGTTACAGGCCCTCCATCTTGTCCCTGTGGGTTTCTGGTTCACTACAGGACACAGAGTTCCTGGAATGTACTTATTTATCTGTTAAGACACCATGGAATGTACCATTGTTTCTGTGTAAGGAACATCCTGTTTGCTAAGTAAAGAACATCTGCAACCCCCCCCAACCGTCCCCTAACCGCAAAAATTCTGCTTCTGTAGTTCTGCTTGCTAAGCACCCCTGCAGCCCCTATAAAACCTTCCAACCCCCTGAGCTTGGGGCCCTCTCTAAGCTTGTTTGCTTGGAGGGTGCCGTCTGGCCAGACTAATAAAGGTCTGTTTTACTTTTCCAACTTGTCTGGTGTGTTCCCTCCCGGGTGTTCTTTGCTGCAGTCAGCTCCTTGGAGCGTTTGATAAGGCCCTCGGTCTTACACTATTAATGTTTGGTCCTTGTGTCATCCAATGGATTTCAAAATTTATACAGTAGCATAGTGCTGCAGCTCAAGACTACCAAATGCTAGCGTTAAAAAATGTAGATAAACTGGATAAAACTTGTAATGGTTAGAAGAATTATCCCGAAGTAAACAGAGGGAGGAATGATATGGAAAAGTTTTAGATAACTTAATAGATTGAATATTAAGGTAGTTGTAGAAGCAAAATAAGTAACGTGTTCTTTTAAGAATTGCTCTTCCTGTAACTCCTTGTTTAAGGTGAAGATTATCTGACTCTAACCAGTAACTTCATTAACCTAATGAAGTTACCAGGCCAGGGTGAATTTACAACGTATATGGCCTATCTTGTGTCTGTGACTTGTAAATAGGAACTGGAATTGTATTTACACATCAAAGACCACTAGGGATGAGATAATGGCTACAAAGGATATAAAAAGGGAAATGCTGAACAAAGGGGGCAGATATTGACCAGACTGGTTTCTGGCATTCCCGTCCGCTTGCGAGAAGAAATTTTATTATTTTATCTGAATTCTGTGTCTCTGTATTTCTTCCCGAGATTTCCACATCTATTTTTATAATGCTTTTACTTCTGAATCTTAGCTAATAAAGGATAGGAGCCCACATATTTGAAACCCAGGGAAGGAACAAAGTGGAGTCTTCACCTCTCCACTCAGGTCCTCTTGAACGAAGGGTGTGAATTCTTACCATCAAGTGCATGCACTGTGTCATGCTGTAGGCCAGACAAGGTCGTCTGATGTCAGGCCGTCATCCCCCTGCCTGGCCACCGGGAAGCACAGGTCTGGAATTTCACACTCGAAGTCAGAGCTGGCGGCACAGTGTGGGAGGAGGGTGAGCTGCCCCACAGAAAAGCCTTCCGGTGTCACCTCAGCCCTGAAAAGTGCCAAGGGGTGCCGGGCGTGGGTGTGCACCTGTCAGCCCAGCACCTGGGAGGCTGAGGCAGGAGGATCGCCGTGAGGTCACAGCCAGCCTGCCTGAACTGCTTAGTGAGACCCTGTCTCAAAAATGGGCCAATGTGAAACTTGCAGTTTTTAGGATTTAGTCTCCGTGGAGCTGAGTTACTTTTCTAACCTATGGAGTGCCTGCTGTTGAGGAGCCGAAATGTTGTTTACAATGAGGCAACCAACTGGACACAAACCGGTACAGGAGGGACTGTCCTGCCCTGCCCTGCCCCACCCCGCCCCTGGGAGACATGGCCAGGAGCTTGGACTGACCCAGTAAATGTGGAGTAATAATATGGCCTAAGCATTATGTCATGAGGTGTCACTTGTCTTTTTTTCCCCAGAGTTTATTTGGCAACAAAATTTGAGCTCAGACCGCCACGGGCGATGGTGCACACCTGTCATCCCAGCATTCAGGAGGCTGAGGCAGGAGGACTGCTGTGATTTCCAGCCTGGGCTGCATAGCAAAAGCAAGACCAAAAAATAAACATGATTAGTCTCCCACAGCTCTGCAGGCCTGCCTGGCACCTCAACTGGTCCTGAGCTCCAGTGATGTCGGGAGCCCCATGACACCCTGGGCCACTGGGCCTCCACCCATGTCAGACCCCATTTCATTCCAACCGGGCCCTCAGCGCCAGGCCTTCTCCATGCGCAGCCTGAGCTCCTCAGGGTCTGTCCTGGGCTTTGTTTAAAAAATGTAGTCACATGGTGGCGCACACCTGTAATCCCAGCACTCAGGAGGCAGAGGCAGGAGGATTACTGAGCCTGGGCTACATAGTTCAGGGCCAGCCCTCCCTACAAAGAGAGACTCTGCCTCAAAAAACAAACAAAAAACCAAAATGTACTCAAATCCAGGCGTGGTGACGCACACCCAAAATCGTAGCGCACAGGAAGCTAAGAAAGGAGGATCCTCAGTTTGAGGCCAGTTTAGGCTACTTTGACCTGGGCTACTTAAGACTTTTTTGAGATGTCAAAAAAAGTGGGTGCTGGGATGCGGGTCCGTGGCAGAGCCCTTGTCTAGCACCTGTGGGCCCTGGGTTCCATCCTCGCACACAAAATGCATCCACACTGATGCCTACAAGTCTGCTGTAAGTAGCAGCTATTGGCACTTACAGTTAACGCTGTTATTAGAGCCAGATGTGGTAGCACACACCTCTAACTCTAGCAGTCCGGGCGGCTGAGGCAGGAGGATTGCAAGTTCAAGCCCCGCCTGGGAAATTTAGCAAGACTCTGTCTCAAAAAATATAAATAAAGGGGGGAAAAAAAAAAAATATATATATATATATATATATATATATAAATAAAGGGCTGGGAATGGAACTCAGAGGGAAGACCCTGGGTTCCACCCCAGCACTACATGCCTAAGACAGACCAAAGCCCCATGTTCCTGGGCCCCTCAGAAGGGCACTTAAACTTTTCTTCCTTGGTTTGGGGAGTTCTGGTTTCACATAAAAACTAGTGAGAAACTAGGCAGATTGTTCAGGACCGTGATGGGGTAGCTGTTTATTTCGGGGCTCTCCTAAGCTGGGTGTGGTGGTGCACGCCTGTCACCCCAGCACTTGGGAGGCTGAGGCAGGAGGACCAGAGCCAGGGCTTTTAGGCAGTGGAGACAGGAGTTTTAAGACATAGAAAGCCAACAACTTAGAATCCAAAGAGTTTCTCAGAAAGTTAAAAACAATCTTAAATAAAGTTATCTCATTGCCAGTAAAACTTATTCTTTCTTCTTTGAAACAACACTTGACATTAAAACATAATCTTTGTTTTTTTTTGAGACAAGATCTGGCTATGTAGTTCAGGCTGGTCTTGAACTCACAGCAGTCCTCCTGCCTCAGCCTCCCGAGTGCTGGGATGACACGCATGTGCCACTGCACCCACCTTAACACATGATTTTAAAAATCTGTGAGCCCTGGGAAGAGGGCTGGGAGCGGGTCACTTCCTCTTGGAAGGTTCTGGAAGCTTCCGCCGTGTTCACGCTCCCTAAGGTATGGCTGCCTGTGGCCTCCAGGTGATGAAGGCAGCGCCTAGAACTCCTGTCATGTCCATCAGGAAGCGCTCGCTGGACCCTGCCCGGCATGCGGAGGCTTCTCTGCAGCTGTCAGTCTTCGAGGTAATAGTCCAACTTGGTGAACACAGTTTTGCAGCCCTTGTCGGAGAACACTCTCTCCTCCTTGGGGAAAAATGTCATCTCGTCGGCCACCCTGGTCACGATGTCCTCGTCGATGGCGTAGCCGCGGGCCTGCATCTCCACTCGGACGCACATCTTGAGGTGTTTGTACTCCAGGGGGAGGAAGGGCACGAAGTAATCGATGAGGTTCCGGTCGATGAGGCTGCTGTGCCAGAAGCCGCCTGGGAAACAAAAGGTGCAGGTCATGCGTGGCCACTTGGTCAGCTGTCCGTCCGTCCGTCCGTCCATCCCTCCACCCACCCACCAGGCATGCCCACTGGTGTCCGCGCTGGCCGAGGCAGAGCCATGCATGGGAGCCGCTGACTCCAAGGACAAGCTGTGACAGGTCCACGACAGCGTGGGGTGGCTTTGCATCCTCAGGGAGGCCTCGTGTGCCAGTGCAACTGAGCAATGGGAGCCGCGTCAAAAGCCAGGGTGTCGGGCCTGGGCCTGGGCCTGGGCCTGGAGAGGCCGAGCCCAGAGAGGAGCCTCCGCCTGGGCCGTGTCCTGGCCTCTGCTGCAGGCTTGGCGGCTCAGCTCCCGGGTGGATGTTCATGGCGCCTGCCAGGAGCATCCGGAGACCAGAACCAGACTCCGCACGGGTAAGGAGCCAGGTGCACACACAGCCGCAGCCCGGAAGTGGGCTCTCCACTGGGCTCGATCCGCAGTGCCACACACACACACACACAGGGAGGAGAGGCGCGCGCCACCTTGCCAGCTTTCAGGATTGCCGCTGCCAACAACTTCCCCCTGCCTCGTCTCACACTTCCGGTCATAACCTGCCTGGAAGTTGGAAGCCTGGGGTGCAGCCCCGGGCCCCACTTACTGTTCCTGTTGTTGAAGACGGACACAGACAGGGCCTGCTCCATGTCCTTAAGCTTGATATCCTCCCTGCGCCGCCCGCTCCTCCAGAAATCTAGGGCCACGTCGGTGATGCGCTCGGCCCCTGCGTTGCTGCAAGACAGTTGGGGAAGAGGGCTGGACTCTCGGGGAGCTTTGGCGACCGAGCTCTGCAGCAGCGGTGGCCACTCACTCACCTGAGGAAGATGAAGATGGCCTTCTGGTAGGAGACCTCGTCCACCACGTCGTAGTAGTCCAGGAAGGGCTTGATGGCATCGATGAGGCCGGCATGCATCTTGTCCATCTCGTCGAAGATGAAGATGGACCTCGCACATGCGCTCACGTTCCCTCGGATCCACAGCTGTAACTGATCCTGAATTACAAGCAAGAAGTAAGTGTCAGAGCTCTGTGCAAGCGAGATGGAAACTATTCTTTTTGGCAGCACTGGGCATGGAAGTCAGGGCCTCTACAGGTAAGATAAGAGCTCTACCACTGAGTGCCACCCCTGGCCTATGCCACATCAATGGCACTTTCCATGAGAACGCATCTGGGCACTTTGTTGTTGCAGGCAATCAAGCCCAGGGCCTCGAGCATGGTGGGCAAACAGCACCACAGCCCACATTCCCAGCCCAGGAACTTCTTTCCTGTTTTCTCCTATGGTGGTAGGGATCGAACCCAGGGCCTTCACAATGAGCTCCATCCCCAGCACCTTTTTCAATTTTTTTTCTCTTTTCTTTCGAGACAGGATCTTGCTAAATTAAATTATTAATTACCCAGGCCAGGCTCAAACTGGAGATCCTCTTGGCTCAGCCTCCCTGAGTGCTGGGACTGCAGTTGTGCACCACCAGGCCGGCTCAGGGTGCTTCTGAGCAATCGAGGGAAGGGGAAAAGACCCTCAGAAGCCTTGCCATCAGCATCAGAAAACCGAGCCATGGTCCTACACAATAGACTCCCCCTGCCCATCAGGGTAGGAAACTTGCTGTTTTCTAGAAATGGCCCTGGTGTCCGGTGCAGAGCTCTCTGCTGTGAGGCACTCTGCGGCCGCTGTAGCCATGGTGACAAAGCTCCATGCCAGTATTGAATTGAGCAGCAACTGTGCTCAGCAGCACCAGCTCAGGAGCTTGGGCAGCGGAAGTGGCTCACCAGGGTCACTGCATGGCCCGCGTTGTCCCGCCCTGTCTTCCCACCCTGCCAACGGTGGGGACAGAGCCCAGGTGTGCAGTGGCGAGGGCAGGACAGCAGCCCAGATACCACCCATAATGCTGCACTGCCGCTCTCCAAACCCAGGCAGGCTGGGCATGGTGGTGCACACCTGTCATCCCAGCTCCCCGGAGGCTCAGGCAGGAGCATCACCACAAGTTCGAGGCCAGCCTGGGGTACACTGTCTAAGAAAACCAACCAAACAAAAAAAGCCATCAAGGGAATAATACCAAGTGCTCCTTTTCTGACAGACAAGAAAATTCAGGTACAGAGAGGGTAAGCGCCCAATGTGACAGTCACTAAGCTGGTGCAGCCCTGTTCCTAACCAGAGGCCCATTCACCCCAGTCTGCCTAGGACGGGCCCAGTTTCAGCTAGGAAATCCAGCACCCTGGGAACCCTAGACAGTTGGCAACCCTGGTGCTGCTCCCCTAAGCAGACGGGAAAAATTCATTCAACCGTGAGGGCTAGGTTTCCCAGTCTTAAAAGGCAACACTTGGGAACTCAAGTTCACACTGATACTATGTTACAGAATGAACACTGCCTACTGAGGAAGGCGCTTCTCAGAGGTCAGGCAACTTTCCCAAGGCTGCACAGCTGGTGGGAGGGAGCCAGGACCCTAATCCAGGTGTGTCTGCAGCCAGAGCCTGGGCTGTCAATCAGCCTTAAATGCAAAAGCAGTTTGCAACAGTTAGGTCACTGCACTCTGGGCCTCTAGGAATGCTTCCTCTTCCACAAAGTGAGTGAGTTTGATCCTTTTGTGTTTTTTTGAGGCAGGGTTTCCCTTTGTGGTCGAGCTGGCCTTGAGCTCACCATGCAGCTCAGGCTCACCTTGAAGTGATCCTCCTGCTTCAGCCTCCCAATGCTCCACTGTGCCTGGCAAGATTTAATCTTTAACCCAGATTTGATCATGTACTTTCTGAAGTTCTACAACTTCATTTACTAAAGCTTTGCTGGTGTTGCTGCTCTGTGGATCTCAAACCCTTTGTAAGGTGCACATTTCAAAGAGGAATTACTGTTAGGTGAGCTGGCGCACAGCACTTGGGAGGCTGAGGCAGGAGGATCTGTATGCATTCAAGTCCAGCCTGGACTACATGGCGAGTCACTGCCTCAGAAAGATAAAACAAAAAGCAAAGAGGAAGTGGCACACGGAGCCATATTCAGGGTCACTTTCCTGTCAACACAGTTTTCCCAAATCCCATTCCTCATCACAGGACCCCAAACCCAGCCCCCCCCCCCCCTTTGCACTGCCGCGCCTGCCTTGTACAGGGTGATGTTGGAGGCGTGTGGGAAGTGCAGCGTGGCCACGAACAGGTGCACATAGTCACTGTTTAGCCCGCCCTCGTAAATGTTCTCCGCTATGATCTTGCTGACGAAGTTCTTGCCGGTGCCGGTCCACCCGTGCAGGGACAGCGTCAGGGGCTTCTTAGGCTTCGGGTTGCTCAGGAAACCGGACACGGCGTTCAGGACGACCTTCTTTGCAAGATGCTGTCCGAAGAGCTTGTCGTCCAGGTCCTTCTGCAGCGCTGCGAAGGACGGGGACGGTCAGGAGGGGACACGGCTTGGAAAACCCAGTCCGGGCGCCGCTGCTTCCACGGCCCTGCTCTGCAGCCCGGCCTCAACCGTAAGGCCCCCGTCGGCGGGAAGGAGGCGGAGCTCCGGAGTTCGCAGCCCGTCGCAGTCCCGCAGCGCGTCGCCGGGGCCAAAGTCCGGCCGGGCTGCGGTCGTGGGCCCCGCGCCAGGGTCCATCCCCGGCCGGGCCGCCCCGCTTCCGGGTCCGTCGGCCCCGCCTCTACTTACCCTCCCGGCTCAGGCTCCGCTTCTGGCCGCAGCACTCGGCGAAGAGGCAGTAGAGGCGTGGGTAGGAGATGTAGCCGGTGAGCACGCCGGCCAGCGCCAGGCCCAGGCTGATGGGCTCCACTGCGCGTACCACGCACGGGGCCAGCAGCAGCACGGCCAGCGCAGCCCGGCCCAGCTTCATGCCCGGACCCGCGCCGTCCTGCGCGCTCCTGCGGCGCCTGGTCCCCGCGCTCCGTCAGACGCGCGCTTCCGGTTCCTCCCGGCCGCGGCCGTCCTCTTTGTTCCGGGCGGGCCTCCTCCTGACTCCGGAGGCCGCCATCTTTGTTAGGGGCAGGGTTCTTTTCCAATTTTTTTTTCTTCCCCTTTCCCACTTCTGAAGGGTTGGTTGTGGCGGTCGGCTGATGATCACGTTTTCTGTTTTTAAATTACAGACATTATTTTTTTAAATTTTATTGGTACATTTTAGGTATACAATATGACATTCATCATTGGAAACTTGCACCTTTACATACTCTTGGTTCTTATTTTTTCCCCTTCCTCTGCCCTCTCTTCAACCCCTCCATTTCTCCCTATTTACAAAGACTTTGTTTCCATTTTTTCATTTTCTCATTAATTCCAATAACAGACTCTTTTTTTTTTTTTTTTTGGTACGGGGATCGAACTCGTATACTTCCGCTTGCAAGGCAGGCGGCGGAACCACTGAGCTAAATCCCCGGCCCTAACAGACTATTTTTAAAGAACAGTTTTAGATTACAGAAAAGTTGAGAAGATCATACAGAAGGTAGCCATATACCATCCTCGTAGTTTTCCCATTATTAAAATCTTACATTAGTATGCTACATTTGTTACGATGAATGGACCGCTACTGCTACATTCCCAGGCTCAAACCTGAGAGGCCTCTCTTCCGAATTTGCCTGTTTTTCTGAGTTAGATGAAGGCTATGGGCTTTGGAAGGGGGATCCCAGAGACTCAGTGCTGCTTTATCCCATCACACCTTGGGTACTTGCTGTCTATATGACAGCGACCTTGACCTGACTGAGGCAGAGCTTGTCGTGTCGCCCCGTCCTCCTCCTCCTCCCACTGTGCTTAGGAAGGAAGTCACCATGTAAGGCCCGCACTAGGGAGTGGGGAATCTCCCTTCGCCTCACCAGGGAAGAGTACCTGCAGCACTCATTCAGAAGTGTTCTGAATGAAAGGTTTGTCTCTTCTCCTTCGCTTATGTATTCAGTCAGTCCCATCCGCATTGGCTCTGGGTTATTTCATACTTTGGGTTGTAATCCACACCACATAGTTTTTGGCCCCATTTGTTTTTGTTTTAGCCCTGGGGCGTGTCAGCTGGTCCCCTGTGCTCCTTTGACACACAACTAATGTGTGCAAACATCTGTTGATTGGGCTTTGTTCTGAGCGCGTCCACACTTCCTGACACTAAGGATGCCCTGGCTGTAGAATCAGCCACTTGCCCACAGAGCCCTGTTTCCCTGTACTGGAGGGCAGTGTTAGAGACCAGGATCTGGGTGCTGAGTGTGCTGCTGCTGCTGAGGTGTCATTTCAGGCTGCCAGCTGACAGGAAAGAATCAAGTGCATGTGGCCACCCGCACGTACACTGGTCCCAGAAGATTTCTATTCAGAACCATCTGTACCTGTTAAGCCAGACACGACTTCCTACTGACATCAACTAGTATTCTGTAGATCATTTAAGCTTCCTCCCTGCTCATCTGTAATCCCCAACCCAGCAGTGAGAATCTGGCTCCTACCCTCTGCTGGCCACTTCCAAGCTTGGTACAGGCCACTCACACCGACCAAGGGGCCTCTGGACAGCAGGTGACGTGCACCTTCCACGTCTTCATCCAGCCTGCCAAGTGTTTGCTGGGGCCTGGGTTCCAGGGCCCTGCCAGGCCTGACATCCCCTCCTTATCCTGGCGTCTGATAAACATGTGTTCAAGCCGGGTGCAGTGGCCCAAATTCAAGTTCAAGATTGTAGCTGCACCCTGCATCCACCCGGAAGCCTGCTGCATGCTCCTTCCCCAGCCCAACAGCAGGCACCGCTGCTCCATGGATTGGCATCTGCTTTCTGCATGGGAGAGGGTCAATCCCAGGTGCCCATTTCACATTTGTTGCCAGTCTCTGGGCTGATGTTGGTGTAAGGAGACAATTCAAGCAAGGTTGGATTCAATCTGTATTTAATAATTAAGTTCTTTAAATGGAAATAAAGTGTTTCTTTTTCTTTAATGAAATGTAAGTCAGAAAATCCCAGTATCCCTGATTTCATTTTATATTTTTTGCCACCTGTTGGACCCACTCTAAACAAAGGATGCTTTTTTTTTTTTGGAGGCACTGGGGATTGAGCCTGAGGCCTTTGCACTGAGCTTCATCCCAGCCCTTTTTTGTTTATTTGAGATAGGGTCTGACTAAGTTGCCCAGGCTGGGCTCAAACTTGAGACTCTCCTCCCTCAGGCTCCCAGAGTGCTAGGAATACAGGCCTGCGCCACCACACCCAGCTGCATGTGCAATCTGAAAGGCACAATCTAAAGGGTGCTTTTGCACCATGAACACACAGCTATTTCCTAATCCAGAACAAACACTGAAAGTCAAAGTATTTACAAACAAAATTTAATATGCTCATAGGAAATAAGTTTGCCCTTAATGGGAAAGCTACACATTGTCCTGCTGCGAAAGGTCCCAGTCAGTGTCTGACACCCCGGCGGGTAGCAGCAGCCTTGCTGCATGTCTGGGGACTGTGTGTCAGCTGTCAGGAAGCAGTAGGCTGCTGCACAGTGCGCAGCCTCCCAGCAGCCTCAGTACCGCCTGTTCATCTTCTTGAACTTCTCATAGTGGTAGTCATCAGTGGCTTTCTCGTTAGCTGGACGCTTGCGGTTAGGCGGGGACCCTAAGGAGGAGGACAGGACAGAACAGGCTGTCACCAAGTTGGAACCTCCAGGGCCGGGGATTTAGCTCAGTGGTTTTGCCGCCTGCTACGCAAGTGCAAGGACCTGAGTTTGATCCCCGGTACCAAAAAAAAAAAAAAGGTTGGAACCTCCAGGCCCGGCACACAAAGGCGGGGCCAGGCTGTCTCAACCCCTCAGGGGCCCCTGCCAGGCTGGTGCAGGACAGCACACAGGGCCTCGGGAAATACCTGTCATCTGTAAGCAACTTTCATTTAAAGTACGACTGAACTCAGGACCTTGCCACTGAACTCAGGACCTTGCGCTTTTGAGGCAGGCACGCACCACTGAGCTAAATCCCCCACCCTCCTTTTTGTTTTTTTGAGACAAAGTCTCGCCAAGTAGCCCAGGCTGGCCTTGAACTCAAAGCAATCCTACGACCCCATTCTATAAGCCAGGAAAGCAAGGCTCAAAAAGGGGGAGACATAGGGCTGGTCAGACCCCGCGCCGCCCCCAGCCAGGCCTGGCCACACTCACGCTCCGGCTCTGGCTTCTCTGTGTCGCCCACTCGCAAGGGCCGCGCCTTGGGCTCTTCTTTGTTCCTCCGGATGGGGGCATTAAGCTCCTCGTGATAAACTGAAGCGAAGAGAACAGAACACATCAGAGGTGGCACAGTTTCCAGCCTCCTCCTGGCGGAGCGTGGGAGTGGGGCGCATACATCGGTTGTGCTGCACGTAGTTCACAGCCATGTTGGTGGGCACAAAGGACGTCTCACTGTCTTTCTTCTTGTTCTGCTGCTCTGCCAGCAAGCGGGCCTTGGCATCCTCCGTGGAGATGATGTTTTTGATTTTAGCACTGCAGGCAGAAAGGAAGTGCACCCCGTATCAGATCCCTGCGCCTTTCTTGCAGATAGAGCTGATCTCGAGGCCAGCAGCCCTGTGCTGTAAGGAACTGAGCCAGGGCTGCTCTCTACCCAGCTCCTTCACGGTCACTCTTTCTTTCTTGAGACAGCGTTTACTATGGAGCCCCGGCTGGCCTCAAACTCATGGCAATCCTCCTGCCTCAGCCTCCCGAGTGCTGGGATGACTATGTGCATCATCACACCTCGCTCAGTCACACTCTTAACAGTGCTCACAGCCAGAGGAGAGCAGGAGCTGTTCCTCTTTTATGGCCAATCAAGCATTAAGAAGAGAAGTGAGTGGGCTGGGGATTTAGCTCAGTGGTGCTGGCGCCTGCCTCTAAAGTGCAAGGTCCTGAGTTTGATTCCCGGCACCGAAAAAAAAAAACACAGCAGTGAGTTTCCCGAGGCCAGAAAAGAGGCTAGGACCAAGTGCCCTGGTTCTACTCCACCCAGAGATGCCAGCACCCACCCACTGCACTCTTTGCTGATGGTCCCCAGGAAGCAGGCATGGTACAGTTGGAGGACCCTGGCGAGAGGGTGAGCACAGAGGGCTCCTGGGAGTGCTGGGTACAAAGGCGAGGGCTCCCAAGGGATGCCTGCCGGAACAGGAACAGGACCCAGCCCCTCGGCCTGCACGCACTCGATACCCAGGTCCACCTCAGGGATGCCGCTCAGCATCTGGTTGGACAGCATCTCCTCCGTCTTCTTGGCCGAGGACACGCGGATGTTCTCAGGGAGCTCGTACAGACAGTCCTCCGCATTCTTGGGCTTCACCTTCTGCTCCTCGTGCTCCACGATCCCTTTCCTCTTCTTCAGCTCCGTCTCGATGTACTTCATCCTGAGGATGGGAACCACAGCCTCAGGGTGGGTGGGGAGCACACAGGCATCTGCTCAGCCAGCGGCTCCCTGCACTGGCCTGCAAGGATATGCCATCACCCATGGAGAACAAAAAAATGAAGAGAACCTGAATCCTTTTCTTTGAGTCAGAATCTTGCTATGTAGTCCAGGCTGGCCTCAAACTCAAAGCACTCCTCCTGCTTCAGCCTCCCACATGGTGGGAGTATAAAAATGAGTCACCACATCTGGTGATAGTTGTTATTTTCCAGTACTGGGGATTGAACTCAGGACCTTGCGCTTGCCAGGCTGGCCCAGCACCACTGAGCTACATCCTTGGCTGATAATTGTTATTTTAAAAGCCTAGTTGGCCAAACAAAAAGAGCAAGTCCATGTTTACCCCCGAAATCCCAACCACCACTGTTTCAAGAATTCTTCCCCCCACCAAGATAAGATCTTGTTGCATTGCTTAGGCTGGTCTCAAACTCTTGGATTCAAGCGATCCTCCTGCCTCAGCCTCCTAAGTAACTAGAATTACAGAAGTATACCACCATCCCTGGCTAAAGAACTCTTAAAGAGGTTTGCAAAGTTCTCAAGCCCGTGAGGTTCAGTGACATCTTCTAGAAAATTCTGGAAAAGTCACCTGTGATAAAACCTCTCAGACTACGTATTTCACTGTCCCAGCCCAGCACCTGGCACCTACATGTCTGCGTCTTCATCCCTCCGGTTGGTTTCTGCAGAAAACGACGTCCCCAAGTGCAGGTCCTCCTCCTCGTTGATCCTGTAAGGAGACCGCAGTGAGGCAGAGCCTCCACGTCACCACGAAGTGAGGCGACTGTCCCAAGAATGAAACCAGGACATGAGAAAGAGCATAACATGCTGTCCATGGACGTGGTATAAAAACTCTAGGAACTTCGGCAAGGAAACAGTTGGCCCCTGGGGAAGGAGTGGATACACTGATTTTTGTAAACTTTTGAAATATTTGGATGTATTATTTTTGTAAATTTAAATATAAAACTTCTACATGGGTTTGAAAGAAATGAATAAGGCACTTTTTGGAGCAGTCCTCCTGCTTCAGCCTCCCAAGTGCTGGTACTACAGGCATGTGCTACCATGCCTGGTTGAGTTTTGTTTTTTCGTTGTTGTTGTTTATAAAGCACAAAGCACAAAGGCAATAGTCTTTGCAATATCCAGATGTTCCCTGCAAGGTCCCACTGTAGCCCCAGCTCCGAGGACCCTCAGACCCAGGCAGAGGCTGCAGAGAATCTGCATCTTGGTGGCCCCGCACTTACTTATCTTTGCCTCTTTCCTTCAGCTTCTTCATGTCTACCATGCCGCCCGTCTTCATCTGGAAGGGGTCGTCCTACAGAAAGCACACGCAGCTTAGAGGAGGCCCCGAGGTGATGGCAGTGGGATCATTAGTGTTGGGGAAAACACAGTTATCCACGGAAGAACAGCTACATAGAGGACCCGGAACTTACCACTAGTGTGGTCTCTTCTTGTACCTTCTCGCCCACCAGCAGCGCAGCAGCACTGAACACCACCAAAAGAAGAAGAGAAATGGTAAAATTCAGATACAGGGAGGAGGAACAGCAGGAGGTTTATAAAATGCACCATTAGTGCAAAGGCAAGGCTAGGGGGATGGCAGGAAAGCCAGCTGGAGAGGACAAGGAGAACAAAACATGCAGCTCAGCAGGCACTGCGGTCCTGGGGGATGTGTGAAGAGGAGTAATGCACTTTCCTATAAATCCACTGGACATTATCATGACCTGGAAATAAGTGCAGCAAAAGGCAAAGGTAAGAGATCATTAAAGCCTGTTTAGATGGTGAACATTTACAAAATGATCTACAAAGCAAGTTTCTTGACAAATTATGGCATCCACACATAGCCACTAAAAAAGTTTGCTGAGCTGGGTGTGGTGGTACATGCCAAGAATTCCAGAATTTTGGGAAGCTGAGGTAGGAGGGTTACAAGTTCAGATCTGGCCTGGACAACTTAGCAAGACCCTATCTCAAATTAAAAAAAACAAAAGAATGGAGTTTAGTGCAAAGGTTCTAGGTTCAATTCCCAGTACCATGAAACAAAACAAATGTTTCCTGGAAAATATTCCACAATAGGTTAAATGCCCACAATGTCATAAGTTGAAAAAAAAAAAAGCAGGGACTGAAAGTACACATGTAATTGCTCACAATCTTTACAGAAGAGAGGAAATAAGATTCTTTTCTAAATTTTCCAAACTCTTACAGTCAGCGTGTATTTCACAATTAATCGGGTGCAATAAAAAGGCGAGTTGTGACCTGTCTCTGCGCCCCAAGAGCAAGAGCTCAGTGCACTTTGGGGTTCAACGTTTGCAGCCAACGCTGTTCTCCAGAAGGCGTACGTGGGTCAAGAGAAGGGCCAGGTCCGAGAACTTGTGATGACCTGAGCTGGGGGGCGTCACTGTCCTCACCGCTCCTGCTCTGCTCGCGGTACCCACCTCACCCCGTTGGGCCTCTTCCTCAAGTTCTGTACCTCTCGGGTCTCCTCCAGCTTCAATCTGAAAAATGGTAAATGCACAGGCTGAGAGATCTCGCCCAGAACCCAGAGGAGCAGGCTTTTCGTGGGCTCCCCTGACCCGCCGCGGTTCAGAGGGAGACCTCGCACCCAGGACCCCTGGGAGTGAGATCCATCCTCGGGCACCTCTCGGTGGGGACGGCGGCCTCACCCCCCCCTCCAGAGCCTCCGTTTCTTTGGGGGACAAGAAGCCCGGCTCGCAGTTAATTGTGTCAGCTAGGCACCCGGGCGCTGGCCAGCCCACCCAAGGCGCTCTCTCTCTACCTGGCCCGTGAAACCTCGTCTGAGACGCACCTAACCTCCTCTGAATCTTGCTCATCTTCCTCCGATTCAGAGTCGGCCCGGCGCCGGCGGAAGGTCTTCCCGGTGACCGGCATAGCGGCAGCGACTTCGCGGTGCAGCCGCCGCGGGGCTGCGCAGAGGCCCGACTGCTTCCGGCGCGCAGCTGTCACGTCAGAGCCTGAGCCCTCTCGGCCCACTCCTGGCCCGCCTCGCCACGCCCCAGCAGCACCGCCCATGTGCCACGCCCCTCCCGTGACGTCAGGTTCTGCCGATTGGACAGCCGAGGGGGAGGAGGCGGGGCGCGGTCAGCAAGGCCCCACGACCCCGCGCTGCGCGGTGGAGGGCGCACTTGATTGACAGGCGGCGGCAGCGCTGTGGCGACTGCAGGTGAGTTCCCGACCGCCGCCGGGCGCCTGGGGGCTGGGCCTGTCCGAGCCGGAGCGACCCCAGCCTGGCTCTGGGCCAGTGGGGCCTGGCCGTGTCGGGTGCGCCGAACGCCGCGGCCAGGTGCGCGGAGCTGGGATGCCCTGGGTGCCGCCCCTCTCCCCTCCCCGCGGGCGCCGGAGGGGTCCCGGGTCCGCGCCCCGCCTGAGCCCCCGGCACCCGGGCCACCGTGTTGCCCATCGGGGCCGGGGCCCGGCCCAGCACTGCGGGCGCGCGTGGCGTCTCCGCGCGCCGAGCTCATTTCCTCCATGTTTGGGCCCTGACGTGCATATTTTTTTTTCTGGGGACAAAAGAGGACCGGGTCTGGGGCTGGTGACTCCCAGTCCCGCGCCGGCTGCCCCGCCGGCGGCGCCCCCGGCCACGTCTTTCCGTGGGGAGGCGCGCTCGTGCGTGCGCCCCTTGGGAGGGCGTGGGGACTGTGCCCCTCGGGTGCGCGCGTGTCGCCTTCCAGGACCTGCCCGGGCCTTGTTTTCCTTCTTTGACCCGGAGGACTCCCTTTGCCCTCCGCCCCTTTCACCCCGAAGATGCTGAGAAAATCGGGTATTTGCAAACTTAGGAAATACCTCGGTGCGACCATAATAGCTCACGGGACTTTCAGAATAGTTTTCCTCCCACTGTGGGGGCCCATCGTGCCTTGGGAGAACTTAGTAGGACGCGGCAGGCACTAACTAAGCTAAGCACGGTCTCCCTGAATTCTCCCCGACATCCTAGGAAGGAGATTCAGTGGTTTTTCATTTTGCAAACGAGGATCCGAGACTCAGGCAAGCCCTGCCCGGGCTGTGCAGCTGGAAGGGGCACCCGGCTTCTCCTAGCTTCTGGGAATAGAGGCTGGGATGATGCCTGCTCCCTCAGACGCTGTCGCCGGTCTCCCTGCCTGCGGGAGGGGCTGCTGGAGGCTTTGTTCGGAAGATTTTTCTCAAGCCGGGCCGCCTGTCTGGGATGCCTGGTTTTTGTGTGGAACAGGCTCTTCCGACGGTGTTGTCGTCCTGGGAGGTGGACAAATGGTAAACTCGCAGCTTCTTGGAACAGGACTTTGGCCCTGGTCAAAAGCCACGCGTTACAAGTCTCAAAGTCATGCCCTCTCCAGACCAGTGCAGCCAAACCCAGTGCATATGACGCTCACTGGACACTGCGTCCCTGTGAAGGGCTGAAGGAGACAGAGGCTCCCCGGAGACTGCCGCAGGAAGCGAGGGATTTGGTGTCCACCGCTCTCTCACTCCGGGAGTGGCTCTGAATGTACCCTGACAGTCACACCCCTTCTCCCTTGGGATCGGACACCATTGAGAAAAGGGCCAGCTGCCAGGGGCATTTCTGGACTGCCCTCCTCCCCATCTCAGGTCCCAGGGAGGAGCGTCCGGTGCACATGAGCAGCCCCCATCCCACCCATCCATGAAACCAGAGTGCCCGTGGGAACCCACTTCCCAGGCTCTGGCAGGCCAGTTTGCTGTGCTGGGGATCCTACCCAGCGCCTCCCACTCGGGGCAGGAACCCTACCACTGAGCCCCACCCTCAGCCCTTGAGGGCAGTCTTGTTGAACAAAAGTAATTCTCAAAGAATTACTTGGGCCCTTTTTTGTGTGTGTACCAGGGATCGAACTGGGGACCTTGCACTTGCAAGGCAGGCAGCAGAACTTGGGCCCTGTGAGAGTTGAGACTGCTTCTCAGAGGGTCTGTTCAGCTCAAGCAGGCGTCTTGGGTTCTAACTTGTCTGGGAGTCTAGTTGGTCATGGAGCCCGGGTCTGGGTGGGTTTGCTGGCTCCTTGGGGCAGGTAAAATAGGGGCTTGTTTGGGAGTTCAGGGAGCACTAATGTCTGGTTGGATTTGGGAGCCAGAGACTCAGTTCATAGACCTCTGTAGTACTTGTTCTCGAAGTGTTTGCTGGACTCATTTATTCACAAGATATTTACTGAGCATTTACTATTTAAGTGAGGCACTGTTCTAGGTGCATAAAGTGCATCACTGAGCAAAAGAGACAAAAGATCTTTAATCTAGTGGAGTTTATATTCTAATACCTTAATAAATAAAGTATGTAGCTGTGAAGTGCTTTGCAAAAGAGAAAGGCAGACCTCAGGAAAGGACTGGGCTGTGGGAGGGAGGTATCAGCACATCCGCTTGTGGTCTGTTGTTAGTGACTGATTCCTAGGCTCCCGAGTTCAAGTCCCACTCTGCCTGCTTGCCGTGGGCTGGTTCTGGGCTGAGGCTTCCCTGCACTGAGCCTGCTCCACTGGTGTCCCCGTGCTACCATCTGCTGGCCCCGTGACCTCTGACTCAGCTGCTTGGTGGGTTTAGGGGTTTGGGGGTCTGAACTTTCTTTACATTTTGTTTAAGAAAGCACTTATTTAGAGGATATATTCTTTTTGTTTTAGATAGAATCTCACTGCAGCCCAGGCTGGCCACAGGCTCTCGGCAATCCTTCTGCCTTAGGGCTGCCCCCCGCCCCCCAAGCGCTGGGATGACAGGCGTGCTCCACCATGCCCTGGTAGAGTGTGTATTCTAAACTCACGTAGAAGATACCACACAGTAGGGTGTGTAACCGTAACGGAGGAGCCAAGCTTTTCATAGTTTTTCAGGTTAGCAGAACAAGAAACAAATCCAATCCAATCAGATCACACTAGCATGAAAGGGGAACACTTGCAGAAGTGTTAGAAGTCGGCAACAAATGCCTAAGCAGCATGGAAAGGTCACAGTTCTGTTTGGCTACAGTGAGCAGAAATGGATCACTATGTAGAAATTTCAGGAAAGCCAATTTCCATTTATCATGAGGACTGAGACAGCCCGTGCTGGCCTCTGGGGAGACACGGCTCTAAGTGGTTTTGGACAAACAGCCAGCAGGGGATTTATGGAGCCAAGTCTCGCCTTAACAGGAAGGTGGGGTAATTAGCCAGGCAGATGGCGCCTGCTTGTAATCCCAGCACTTGGGAGGCTGAGGCAGGAGGACTGAGAGTTTGAGCCCTGCCTGGGTAACGTAGCAAGATCTTGTCTCCAAATAAAGCAGTCAAAAGGGCTATGGATGTAGCTCGGTGCAAAGACCCTGGGTTTGATGCCCTGTGCCGCCAAAAACAAAACAAAAAAGGGGGATGAAGGAATCCCAAATCTTCCTTTTATTTTGCAGGATTGTGTGGTAGAAGCAGGATGCAGGTCATGTTACCTGGACAGGGGGAATCTGCTTCCCGGTCCTAGATATCAGGATTTTCCTGGCCCTTAGTCTGCATTGTCTGTGCTAGGAGTTTAGTGATTTCTAAGGTGATGAGATTGGAACTTCAGAGTGTGAATTTCTGCATAATCCCTTACATTGGGGCTTGAGGCTTTTTGTGTCCTGGGCCAAGTGCTGCCCCCAGCCCATTGACCCCCGGGACAGCCAGCCAGGGAGCCCCAAGCCTGTGCCTTCTCCAGTGATAGCCAAAGGCAGTGCCAGGCTTTGGTCTGCACAGAGACTCCGTCCTAAGAAACCCTGGCTGGAGACACCATCCAGGGTCGGAGCCAGGCAAGGTGGTCCCCATGCCAGGCTGGTGGGTGTGGGGCACTAGGGAGGCTGCAGCCCAGAGCTCAGGCTGAGGGCAGGAAGTCCAGGGTTTGATCCTGGCACCCAAGCTCAGCTGTGTGGATTCTGCCTTTCTTCTTCTTGTTTTTGTGAGACAGGGTCTTGCTGTGTGGTTCAGGCTGGCCTTAAACTCCTGGCAGTCCTCCTGCCTCAGCCTCCCAAGTGCTGGATTACAGGTGTGTGCCACCCCGCCTGGCGACTCTGCCTTTCTGAGCATCGGTTTCTCTACTTTTCATGATAAAGATAAGTAAGGACCAGCAAGGTCAGGGGTAGGAGAGCTCCGGACATGGGGCCATTTGGGGACAGGGCCAGGTGTGTCGGGCTGGGGGCCAGGTGCATAGTGGTGGCTGATGCTGGTGGGCAGTGTGTGCAGGTGGAGGCCCTGGCATCACCTTCTGGGCCTAGGGCCCACTTCTTCCGGGGGAAATGATGAGAAATCATTTCTCATCATTTTAGGCGGCAGCTGGCAGAGCGATGGGCGCCTGGGCAGAGGCCCGGACCTTCCCTTCTCCTCCTGAGCCCTCTGCCCCAGAGACAGGGGCACTGCTGAGTCCCCAAGGCGGGGTGTGGCCCAGCAGCCCGCTGGTCCTGTACCGCCAGGCTGCCCGGCCTCTGCCTCTCCTTCCCCTCAGCCTCCTGCCCAATGCCGGCCAGCCGTGTGATGGTGGTGGCTGTTCCTTCTCCGTCCTTAGTGACAGGGACTGCAGGGGACCTGGCACACCTCCCCTGGGTCCCGGGTCCCTCTCGGCAAGGAAGCCTTTCACAAAACTGAGGGAAGCATTGGAAAAATAACACAGTGGCCTCCTATGTACCTTCGCCTAGATTCATTGGGTATTAACATCTCGCCTTGTGGACTCTGATCCGAATCTCCTTACCGCTCATCCCTGTCAGAGTGAGCCTCGGGCGGCATTGTGCTCCTTTCCCTGCGCCTCTCGGGCACTGTCTGAAAGACAGCAGTGCCACACATGACCACAGAATGCTTTTCTTCAGAAGCCTTCCATTTTTTGTTTCTTTTTGCTCATGTGAGGGTTTGAACCCTGGCCTTGATGTGGAGGCCAGGTGTTCTGCTACTGAGTTCCATCCCCAGCACCTTTTTTTTTTTGCGTACCAGGGATGGAACTCAGGACCTTGTGCTTGGGAGGCAGCATCAGCACCTCTGAGCTGAGTCCCTGGCCTTCCTTTTTTTTTTCTTTTGAGACAAGGACTAGCTAAGATGTCTGGGTTGGCCTCGAACTTGGCAGTCCTCCTGCCTCAGCCTCCTGAATACATGAGATTATAGGCACGTGTTGCCACACCAGCTCGGAAACCTTTAACATTGATATAAAATTGGACCGGGGATTTAGCTCAGTGGTTCTGCCGCCTACCTCGCAAGTGCAAGGTCCTTCCTGAGTTCTATCCCAGGTACCAAAAAAAAAAATTTAATGTAAAATTATTGTGATCATTTCCCAGGGCTGCCCTGACAAAGCACCACACACTGCGAGGCTTGAGGAACAGATATTTTTTCCTCACAGTTTTAGATGCTGGAAATCCAAGACTCAGAGGTTGGCGGGTTTGGTTTCTTTTTTCGGCACCAGGGATTGAACTCAGGACTTTAGGCTTTCGAGGCAGGCATGGTGCCACTGAGCTAAATCCCCAGCCCGGGTTTGGTTTCTATCTTTGAGTAGAGGAGGGCCTGCTGTAAAGATCTCCTTTTAACACAGGGCTTCTGCAGAGACCTCATCTCCGAACTTAACACCGTTGTTCTGGAGGGCCGGTGGTTACCTGTCAGCATATGAATTTTGGGTTCAGGACAGGGATAATCTCCACAATAAATATTGTTATCCATGGGTGGCCCATCCTTATTTTTTTTGCTGCTGGGGATTGGACCCAGGCCTGTAATCTCACTGCTTGGGAGGCTGAGGCAGGAGCATTGCTGGGAGTTTGAGGCCAGCCTGGACCACATGGCGAGACACTGTCTCAACCTCCCCTCACAGTGTCACCTGGCATTGTGGTCCCTGTCACCACTGCAGCCACCCGCAGAGTATGAATGTGCTGGCTGCCTGTGCGCCCCGGTGCCTCAGAGGCAGGCCTGGCACCCAGAGCGCAGTGTTTGGTTCCAAGCAGGAGGGGGAGGAATCTAAGGTGCGGCAAGCAAGTGGGCCGGGCCCCAAGCGGCCGCTTCCTCCCCCGGGGCTCACCTGCTGTGAGACTCGGGCAGGGGCAGGACGAGCAGCCCTCAGCCCTTCGTGGGAGGTGGGGCTGGTCCCAGCCGGCCACTGTGGGGAGCACCCGGGGAAGTTTTCTACTTTTATTGTTTTGGTGTTTTTGAGACAGGGACTCACGGTATAGCCCAGGCTGGCCTCCACTCAGGGGGATCCTCCTGCCACAGCCTCCTGGGTGCTGGGTCACAGGCACGCACCACACCTGGCTCAAGAATTTTCATGGAACAGTGAGGGCCAGCACTCAGCCTGGTGGTGGGCACTGCACTGGGAGACTCGGCCCCTGCCCTGGGCACTGAGGCTGGGGAGGGGCCCCTGGGAGCTGGCGCCGCCTCCTTCCTGTGAGGGACCCATCGGGCTCCACTTCCAGCTCCGTTCCTGGGGCCCTCGGGACCTGGCGCACTGATTTATTCTGAAGTGTTTTCTTTTGAGGGAGCTTAGATCCACAGGAAGCTGTGCAAGCTCACGGGAGGTCCTGCACAGCCTCTCCCTCTGCTGGTGACAACAGTGGGGGGGGGGGGGGGGGGGGGGTGCCGCCGATGTAACTCTGGGGCCCACCAGTGAAGCTCCTGGCTTTGAGACTTCCCAGGTCCTGCTGATACAGGGCGGGTGGTCTGTGGATGAAGCACGGATCTCCAAATAACGTCAGGCAAATGCTGTCTTCCCAACCTGCTAGATGTCCAGAGTGCTGAGTTCCTGTTCTCTAAAATCGAGGAATGAATTCTAGGAATATGGAGGTTAAGAATAGGAAGAATTGGGCCAGGGATTTAGCTCAGCGGCACCGCACCTGCATTGCAAGTGCAAAGTCCTGAGTTCCATTCCCGGTACCAAAAAAAAAAATGGGAAGAATTTATTGAGAGAAAGACAGCTTTTGTCTAAGAGAGGCAGAAGGAGGTCCGGAAAGTGGGCTGCCCCCCCCCATCCCTGCTTCTCAAGGGTGTTTTATTGAGCAAAGCCACTCCCTGAGGTGGGTTCAAGGTGGGACAAAACTATAGTCAACTAATGGGATTACAAGTGTGGTCCCTTAGGTAATATTTATTTAATTGGGATCAAATGGGGAGGAAACGCACGAGGAACAACAAGGATTTTGGGGAAGGACTGGGCTGGGAGGTCTCAGCCCCTGCCCAAGGTGGTGGATGTCTGTTTAGAACATCAGTCACTGCTGTTCATCCCTAGGGAAGTATGTGAGTGTAATAGTTCCTTTTTTTCCAGTCCCAGCCTTCAGTAACTAATCCTCAGTTATCTTCTGTATTGACTGCCTAGGGCCTGGCCCTAACTTCCTATAATATATCTAATTAATGTAGCTGTCTGCAATAATCCCAGCACTTGGGAGGCTGAGGCAGGAGGCTCCCCACCAGATCAAGGCCAGCCTGGGCTTCATAGTGAGTTCAAGGCTGGCCTGAACCACATAGCGAGAGGCTGGGGTGGGAGCCCCACACTCAGGCGCGATACCTGTGTATCCCTTCTCGAGGCTCCAAGCCTCAGGCCCAGAGCCTGCCCACCAGGCGTGGTGTCTGTGTGTGGCCCAGTGGCTGCAGGGCAGCTGTGGTCTTCCCAGAGGAGGGCGTGCGGCCTGGTGGGGTTGGGTGGCTGCCCTGTCCCTGGCCAGAGTCACACCACGACCACAACATCTGGCTAACCCCGTGCTATGTCTCCTCCCAGGTGAGCCTAGGCCATGATGGGGGATACCAGGGACCTCTGCCCTCACCTGGACTCCATCGGGGAGGTGACCAAAGAGGACCTGCTGCTCAAGTCGAAGGTACGGGGCAGTGGCCGTGGGCCGGGCCCAGGGCCTGTGTTCCTGGGTGTGGCTGCTGGGCCCCTTTCCTGCGCCTCTGCGCAGCCTCTGGGCACACAACATGCCGGTGTCTGCAGACGCCCTAATTTCAGACTAGGGCGGCCATCTGGGAGGTGGCAGTGCTCTCTCCGGATGTCACCGCCCATGGGGAGAGCAGCAGTCTGGGGCGGCAGTGGGGTCCCCTGATCTGGTGCTAGGGGCAGAGCCAGTGCTCATGCATGCTCGGCGTGTGCTCACAGCCCCAGGTCTGGCATGGGCACTGGGAGGCCAGGCATGGGGAGACAGCGGGCTCCCTGGTCTCTATGTCTGTGTTGTGGTTGTTAAGTTGAACTTTTCTGAAAAGGGGCGGTGGTTGTAGAATGAAGCAACATAGCTGGGTGTGGTGGTGCACGCCTGTGATTCCAGCACTCTGGGAAGCTGAGGCAGGAGGATCTCAAGTTCATGCTCAGCCTGGACAGCCTAGTGACTTAGACCCTGTCTCAAAATAAAAAGCAAAAAGAGGCTGGGGAGGTAGCTCAGTGGAGAGGTCCTGGGTTCAATCCCCAGTATCACCCCACCACCACCAAAATGAACATTTTTGGTGTCCTTCACTGTGAGTTGTCAGGAGCCCCCCCCCCCCCCGCCCCGTAACCGCTTTCCTCAGTTCCTTTTGTAGATGTTCTTTACAAAAGCAAATACAAGTAGGTAGGTACATTCAGTCTCCATTCTGCCCTTTCCCTGTAAACGATGGCAGACACCAGAGGCTGCTTTGTGACTGGTGTGGCCACAGAGGGTCTGTCCTAGAGCTCACCAGTCCCCTGCCTCTGACCCCAAGTGACCTCTGCTGCTCAGTGCAAGGGGACCCGACAGGACAGGGACCCACTCACCCAGTCCCCAGCGCCAGTGCCCTCCCTTGGCGCCAGGGTGTCAGTGCCCTCCCAGGTCGCTTGGAATTTCTCTCACAGAGCGCAGCGGTTACAGGATTTCATTTTGGAACTGTGCTCTAGACGGGCATGGGCAAAATGATTGGGGCACAGTTTAAGTTGCTGTTACAGAGAGACCCTGAAATACAGTGGCTTACATGAGAGAGAAGTTCCTGTTTCTCTCCCAGAACGAACTAGAGGTGGCTAGGCTGGGGAAAGTGGCTCTGCCGTTCTTCATGTGTGACTTTCCTCTCTGGGTCCAGAGTGGTTGCTTTGGCTCCTGCCATCACATCTGCATTGCCCCCTGTGGGAGGAGGAAGAGAAACAGGGAGCACATGGCTCAGAAGAGGCCCACACCTATTTGCTGTTATCTCACTGACTGGGCCGAGTGACAGGTGCGGCTCAGGGAGAACAGGGTGCCAAGAGAGCAGGGTCTGCCTAGGTCCGTCCTCGCTGATTTTATCCAAACCTGAGAGGAAATCTGACAGTGACAGGGAGTGGCCTGGGGCCCCCACGGCAGCAGTGGTGAGCCAGGGGCACCTCGCTCAGCCCTGCACCCCCTCTCCCCTCCCCACAGGGGACCTGCCAGTCCTGCGGTGTCTCGGGGCCCAACCTGTGGGCCTGTCTGCAGGTAAGGATTGGGGGGAGGGGGCGAGGCTGGGAGGGGCTGTCCTTCCTGGGCATGGGCTGCCTCCGAGAAAAACAGAATCCAGGTGTGGTGGGCATGCCTGTACTCCCGGCACTCAGGAGGCTGAGGCAGGAGCATTGCTGTGAGTTGGAGGCCAGCCTGGGCTACAGTGCAAGACCCTGTCTCAAAATAGAGTCCCCCAAAAGTTTATTTTAAAAAAGTCACGAGTAGAAACACAAAACACACCACTGGGGGCACAAGTGAAGACACTGAGTCAGGTTCTCAGGGGACTCGAGACCCAGGGAGGCGGCTGCCCCTCAGCTGAGGGGGTGCGGAGGTGGGTGTGGTCCTGCCTCAGGCGTCTGAGTCAGGGGAGAGGCCAGGAGCCCTCTCATGCCCTAGCAACCCCCGCGGTGCGGTGCTGACCGCAGGGTGTCAGGACACAGAGGGTCTCAGGGACCTGACCCGTGGGCCGCACCCTGGGTGCCAGCTGGGCTGCCCTGGCCACGCCTGCTGCCCGTTCAGCATCCACTCTTAGCAAATGGCTTTGAGGCCCCAGGGCCCAACAGCTTGGCCCTAACAGCCTGGGCAGGAGGAGGGTTTCCTTGGGGGCAGAGTCTGGAAGAGCCGTGGCCCAGGCCACACTGGCTGTCTTGTTTCCTGCCGTGAGCCTGGGTCCTTGCCCATGTTCCCCTGGGGTGGCGGAGGTGTCACTCATGGGCTCAGCTTGGGCACTTGGCACTCTGCACAGCCATCCTTGTGGTCCCACCCCACGCCCTCTGCAGGTTGCCTGTCCCTACGTTGGCTGCGGAGAGTCCTTTGCTGACCACAGCACCCTCCACGCACAGGTGGGTGCAGGCCCAGGCTGCAGCCTGCACCAGCTGTGGTCTGCCTGGGTGGCCAGGTGGGGATGTGGGGACAGCCCCCAAGGGTGCCCCGTTGTAGGCCTTGCGCAGGCCCAGGGGGCAGGTTCGAGGAGGGCACCAAGGGGCAGCCCCGAATGCTCACGCTGCACCTTGCCCACAGGCGAAGAAGCACAACCTGACGGTGAACCTGACCACCTTCCGGGTGTGGTGCTACGCGTGCGAGCGTGAGGTCTTCTTGGACCAGCGGTTGGCCCCGGCCAGGTTCCCTGAGCAGGTACACAGGGGCCAGGCCAATGTGGCTGACCCGATGAGCCGGGTCCCTGGGTCAGTCTGAACCTGAGCCCAGAGCTCTGGGGGACCAAGGCACTCATGTCACCGAAACCCACTGTGTGCCCAGACCTGCGGTGTGTGAAAGCACAGGGTTGGGGCAGCTGTTGGCAGCTCCAGATGGGTAGGAGTCACGAGTGGTCACTCTGTCCTCCTCCATGGGGACCACCTAGGTCCCCTGCCTGGGGCAATGTGGCAGCCAGCATGGCAGGGACCAGCCATGGGCAGGACTGCTGGATCCTCCGAGTTAGACAGGTGCCTGATCGGCTTTAGCCAGCGAGGTTGGGACCGGGCCGGAGCTTGGGAACGTTCACAGCGCTGCAAACAAAACAGCGAGCAGCTCTGGCAAGTGGACAGATACACAGGGTTCGTGGGAGTCCTCTCCGGAAGTGAGGCTGCACTGTTTGTCTTTAGGTGTCTCCCAGATGTGCCATAAAGAATGGAAACGGTTCAGTATTGCTAAGAAAGAAGCCGAGGCGGGTGCTCCCGGGCCCCACAGTGCCGGCTGCGGGCTGGGGCTGCGTGCCCGGCCTCCCTCCAAGGCCTTCCCCTCATCCCGGTCTCTCCCACAGGACTCCCCGCCACCCTCCCACCCCCTGAAAGCTGTCCCTGTTGCCGTGGCCGACGAGGGGGAGTCGGAGTCCGAAGACGATGGCCTGAAACCTCGAGGTGGGAAGCTGGTGGATGGCCCCACCTGCAGTGGCCTCCACATGGCTGTGGCTGTCTTGGGAGGTGGGAGATCGCAGGGGTGGCTTTGGAGGTCCCCTCGGGGCAGGGCCATCACCCCCTGCCTGTCACTTTCAGGCCTCACTGGCATGAAGAACCTCGGCAACTCCTGCTACATGAACGCTGCCCTGCAGGCCCTGTCCAACTGGTAGGTGGCCTGCTGTGGAGCCCTCGGGGTGACGAAGTCTTCCCTGGGTGGCTGGGGTGGGAACGTGGGGACAGTCCCCCAAGATGCCCCCTTGTAGGCCCTGTGCAGGCCGGGGGGTCCTGGCATCTGCCAGGTGGCGGAGAGGTGGGGCTGGAGAGGGACAGGTGTGCAGGGCGCGCCCCGGCCTTCTGTCCCCTTGGCCTCCAGGTGGCGTCCTCCTCCTGTCCCGTACCTGTCCTCTGTGTGCACTGCGCCTGGTGCCTGGCGGTGGAGCTGCCTCTGTTAAGGACCCTGGGCGGATGGGGTTGGGCCGGGAGTGACCGCATGCCCTTGAGGGCCTCTGTCTGCCTCGGTCAGCACAGGGCTAGGACTTGGGCGTCACTGTGGGCTGGGGCTGCGTCCAGCTCGGGTCCTTCCGGCATCTGCAGGCGTTTTCGGGCACGGTGGCCTCTGCATCCCTGCTGAGTTGCCCAGCCCTTTGCTGCTCAGTGGCTCCTCCTAACCAAGCCGCGTCCCCCTTCCCCTGCCAGCCCCCCGCTGACCCAGTTCTTCCTGGAGTGTGGCGGCCTGGTGCGCACGGACAAGAAGCCAGCCCTGTGCAAAAGCTACCAGAAGCTGGTGTCCGAGGTCTGGCATAAGAAGCGGTGAGCACCTGGGTCGTGGCCCCTGGGGTAAGGGCTGGGCTTTCGTCAGCCCCTGGGTCCAGCACTTCCTGTGGTCAGGGCCTTGTGGATACGCGGCAGGTGTGTGGTGCAGCTCGTGTCCAGCCCTGCCTTCCACAGTGGGGACCGAGGTCAGAGGGCTCTCAGTGTCCCACAGTCACCGGCTTGTGTGAGATGGAGCTAGAATTTGCCCCTGGGGTTGGGGCCAGTGGCTCAGGGTCAGGGTAAGATGGACTGAAGACCACAAGAGTGGCTCAGAGCCTCCTCAGAAGGACAGCAAGGGGAGCACCAGAAAGTGTGGAGTGGAGAGGAGGGTGAAAGCACCCCACGGCGCCCCAAGCCTGGAATCCCAGCTGCACAAGAGGCTGAGTCCGGATGGTCGCAAATTCCAGGCCAGCCTGGGCAACTCAGGGAGACCCTGTCTCGAGATAAAATAAAAATTAGGGCTGGGGCTGTCGCTTGGAAGTGCTTGCCTAGAATACATGAGGCCCCTGGGTTCTATCCCTGACCACAGAAAAAGACGGAACCGCACAGTAAATGGGCACCTGTGTCTGTATTTTGTTCTGTTCTGTTTTCTGGTACCGGGGATCGAACTTGGGACCTTGCACTTTCGAGGCAGGCACTGGAACCACTGAGCTAAATCCCTGGCCCTGTGTCTGTATTTTGAAAGAACATTCTGGATTTTATGAACTTTTAGATTTTTGTTTTGTTTTTTGGAGACTGGGTCTTGCTATGGAACACAGGCCGGCCTTGAACTCACAGTAATCCTCCTGTCTCAGCCTCCTGAGTACCCAGATTACAGGCATGCACCACCACACCTGGCAAAAGTTTAGATTTTAAATAATGAATATGTTATTACTCTTGAAATGAGAGGGCTGGGGATTTAGCTCAGTGGTCCTGTCGCCTGCCTTGAAAGCACAAGGACCCGAGTTTGATCCCCAGTACCAAAAAAAAGAAAAAAAGAAATGAGAACCACAGTGAACGTTTTACAGGGAGAATGGAGGCAGCAGCTGGGGCCCCACGTTCTCCCTCTTGGCTGTGTGGCGACCTGCTGGCGTTCCCGGCCGGGTCGGCCCCCACGGCTGATCCGATCCGACCCTACTGACCACCTGCACTCCAGCATTCCATGGCTCACAGCTACCCACCAGGACTGATGGGCTGGGTCTCCCCACAGGCCGAGCTACGTGGTCCCCACCAGCCTGTCTCATGGGATCAAGTTAGTGAACCCGATGTTCCGTGGCTATGCCCAGCAGGTAGGCTGTTGAGCTGCCTGGTCCCAGAGCTGTTGCCAGGCGGGGCCCATTGGGTGGGCTGGGTGCTAGGTGGGGCCCATTGCTAGGTGGGGCCTGCTGTGTGTCCCTTGCCCCAGCATGGTGGACTTGTCCTAGTCCTACAGCCTATAATAAGCCAATGCAGGTTCAGGTTCCTGCTCACAGCCCTGGGTCACAGCAGCATCAAACCAGGAGCAGAATCTCAATTTTATTTTTTTTTTAATTTTATTAAATAGAAACATGAACTACAATAACTTTTTAATCTGGGAGAACTCCTTGCGAGCAGCCATACAGGCTGGGCATGGTGGAACACACCTGTAAGCCCAGCACTTGGGAGGCTGAGGCAGGGGGATTGCTTCGAGTTTGAAGTCAGTCTGGGCTCCATAATGAGTTCAAGGACAGCCTGAACTACATAGCAAGACCTTGTCTCAAAAATAAACAGAACAGCAGCTGTCTTTCTAATTGATAAAATCACAAGCCCTGCCTGGGGATGCTGGTCCACTGCTGTCATCCCAGGACTCTGGGAGGCTGAGGCAGGAGGGTCACAAATTCAAGCTTAACCTAGGCAACCTAGTGACTCAGCAAAACCCTGTGTCAAAGTGAAAAATAAAAAAGCACAGGGGTGTAGCCCAGTCCCTGAATACACGCACACACACACACACACACACACACACACACACACAATGAGGCCATATGTAGATCACCTAGCCCCAGGCAGAGTCGCTGGCTCCTGGGCCTGGGTCCCTGGGGGCCCGGAGTGTCAGTGGGGTCCATGGCTAGGGCTGGGCCCACCTGGGTCCCCTCCTCTGCTGCTGGACAGGGTGTCCCTTGCCCCTGTGGTGGGCACGTGGGGGCGCCTGCCTATCCCCCGGCCAGGGCTGCTGCCGCATCTGTCACACTAGGTGGAGCAGGCGCAGAGCCCTGCCTAGGAGCCCTGCCAGGTTGTGTGTGTGTGTGATATTGGGCCTCAAACCCTCAGCCTTTACACCGAGCTACATATCTAGTCCTTTTTCTAAATTCTGAGACAAGGTCTTGCTCACTTGCCCAGGCTGGGCCTCAACTTTTGGTCCCAGAGTGCTGGGCTCACAGGTGGGCACCGCCACATCTGGCCAGGGCGCCCCTGTGGGTTAAAGGCAGAACCAGACGAGGCTGGCTGGATGCTGTTCCCTAAAGGGGCCCTCCGTGTTCCTGGCTCCGGACACTTGCCCCTCACCTGGCCTGGGACAGTCGGCCGAGGCCTCTTCCCTGGTGGTGCCCAGGGAGCTGGGCTCCTGCCCTGGCTGCGGGCTGCTCTGCACCCTGACCCCTGCCTCAGTGGAACTGTCGGGGCCCCTCGGTTCCCTCGGCTGGCGGTCAGCCCCGTTGCCCCTGGCGACCTCTCCGGGCAGCTGTGCGGGCGCATGTCCGAGCGCCCCCTGGCGCCCATTGCAGGACACCCAGGAGTTCCTACGCTGCCTCATGGACCAGCTGCATGAGGAGCTCAAGGAGCCCGCGGTGGCGGCCGTGGCGGCGCTGAGTGAGGCCCGGGACTCGGACTCGAGCGACGTGGACGAGAAGCGGGAGGGTGACCGCAGCCCCTCGGAGGATGAGTTCCTGTCCTGTGACTCGAGCAGCGACCGGGGTGAGGGCGACGGGCAGGCCCGCGGTGGGGGCGCACAGGCCGAGGCCGAGCTGCTGGTGGCGGAGGAGGCCGGCCGCGCCATCTCGGAGAAGGAGCGGCTGAAGGACCGCAAGTGCGCCTGGGGCCGGCAGCGCAGCAGCTCGGAGCAGCTGGATGAGGACGCCGACGTGGACACCGCCCTGGCCGGGCAGCCCACCGAGGCTCCGCCACTGTCCCCGAGGCCCAGGAGCCCCTGCCGGACACCAGGTAGCAGCGCCGGTTGCTCTGCGGGGAGAGGGAGCCTGGCGCCCAGCGCTGGAGCCCGCGAGCCCTGGCTCAGTCGGAAGGGCAGGGCAGGGCAGGGCAGGGCCGGGCCACCCGTTCTGGCACATTTGGGCCGGGGTGGCCCAGGACGAGGACAGACCCGTCCAGAGGCACTGGTGCGGGATCCTGGCTCCGCTGCCCGGCCCAGTACTGTCCCCTCTCTGCCCCCAGAGCCCGACAACGACGCCCACATCCGCAGCCCCTCTCGCCCCTGCAGCCCCGTCCACCTCCACGAGGGCCACGCCAAGCTGCCCGGCAGTGCCCCTCGCTCCAGCCCGGCGCGCATGGGGTCGTCCTATGTCCTCAAGAAAGGTTCGGGGCCTCGGGGGTGGAGGGGCCGGCGCCTGCCTGCGAGCTGTGTATCCTGGATCAGCAGCCCCCAGAGCCGTGCGGGCTTAGCCGTGGGCAGGGAGACACTGCGTACCCGTGCTGTGTCCCCAGCTCAGGCCTCGGGCAGCCGGAGGCGGAAGGAGCAGCGCTACCGCAGCGTCATCTCGGACATCTTCGACGGCTCCATCCTCAGCCTGGTGCAGTGTCTCACCTGCGACCGGGTGGGTGGCTCTGCCCTTGGGGGGTGCCCACCAGCTGGGGCTGGGCTTGGGGTGCTGACCTCTGCCTCCACAGGTGTCCACCACGGTGGAGACGTTCCAGGACCTGTCGCTGCCCATTCCCGGCAAGGAGGACCTAGCCAAGCTGCACTCGGCCATCTACCAGAACGTGCCCGCCAAGCCGGGAGCCTGCGGGGACAGCTACACGGCCCAGGGCTGGCTGGCCTTCATCGTGGAGTACATACGGCGGTATGGGGGTGCTCAGGTCCCCATGTCCTGTGGGGAGGGGTTGCCCCGGCCCCTGGGGGACAGCCTGGAAGGTGGAGGGCAGGTGACATCCAGTGAGAGGGAGTGGAGCACAGGACTCTCCCTGGCAGAGCCTCCCTGCCAAGGCCAGGGCTAGGAGAGGCGATGTCCCCGCCCAAGGGGTCCTCTCCAGCCACTCGGGGCCTCCACGGGCTCCTCCCTGCCCAGCCCCGCAGCCCTGCCTGTCCTCTGCAGGTTCGTGATCTCCTGCACCCCCAGCTGGTTTTGGGGGCCCGTGGTCACCCTGGAAGACTGCCTGGCCGCCTTTTTCGCAGCTGATGAGCTGAAAGGTGAGGCCGGGCTGGTGGGAGGAGCCCTGGGGGGACTCTGCTCTAATTTGCCTTCCTCGTTGGGGTGTTTGAATATTGTTAAATGCATTGATGGCATTTCCTCAATTTTCTGTCCTACTCCTTTTCTTTTTTTGTTAGCTGTTCAGCATCTTATTTACCTTTGAGAAATAAACCTGTCTCTCTCCTTTTCAGTTTGTTTTTTTTTTTTGTACCAGGGATCGAACTCAGGACCTTGGGCTTGTGAGGCAGGCACAGCACCACTGAGCTAAATCCCCGGCCCTCCTTTTCAATTTTTAATTGTGGCAAAATACAAATAATATAAAATTTACTGTCATAAACTCAGGAGCAGTGGCTTGGGAGGCTGAGGCAGGAGGAGAGCCATGAGTTCAAGGCCAGCCTGAACTACATAGGGAGAGCCTCTCTTAAAACCTCGCCTCTTCACATCCCCCCTAGGTTTACTGTCTGTCATTTTTGATTTTTTTTTTTTTTTT